GGGTGATAGAGGAGAGACGAGAGAAAAGTGCGTTCCAGGCAGAGGGAAGAGTTTACAATTTCAGAATAAGAAAATTAATATGAAAGGTTAAAGCTGTGCCCTCCCCACCACCATCATCACTTATGTATGTACAACATATGTCTTGTGAAACCTCGAAGTTCAAAAGTGAGAAAAGAAAATCAGAACCAACCTAAAATCTATCATCAGTCAAGAGTGGGTTCACAATCAAAGGCATTCCAGGAACAGTAAGCAGGTGCTCGCCCTTCAGCCATTAACCCAGACATTGACTGAGAACCTGTGACATCTACAAGCTCTAGAAGCTGGGGTGCCACTGGAAACAGAACCACTCTTGCCGCTGTGGGCCGTATACTCTAGCGGCTGAGAAGGGCGATAAAGAAAAAAAGACAAACAACATGGAATGTCAGAGGTAAAAATGCCATGAGGAGAATAAAAAGGGCTTGGGTTAGGCCATGTTGGGATGAGGGAGCGAGGAGGGAGCCTGGAGGCCGTCTGAGGGAAGAGCAGAGCAGACAGAGGAAACAGCCCTTTGTCAGGAGGGCGTCCAGTGCGTCCAAGGAATGGAGAGATTAGCTGGGAGGCCAAGTGTGGGAGGGGAGTGAGCTAAGGGAGGCGGAAGAGTTGGAGTGAGAGAGCCAGAGCCTGGTGGTGACTCCTGCGGGCCGTGGTAAGGACTTTGCTTATTACTCAGTGAGCTGGGCGGCTGGAGCATTTCAGGCACCTGATTTCCTGTTTTGACACGATCTCTTCAGCTGCTGTGTTGGACACAGACTGAAAGGGGGCAAGAGGGGAGGCAGGACACCAGCCAGGAGGCCAAGCAGCAAACCATGTAAGAGACCACAGAGGTTGAACCGGGGGTGGGTTTTTTTCTGGGTTTTTATCTTGGGACCTAGTGAGGTTCTTCTTTAAGCAGAGCCTAGAGGACAAATTGTCACGAACTCGGCAACCAGCAGGGGGTGCTTCCCTAGATGGTCTGTAAGGCCCTTTTCCATAAGAAGGCTATTTAAATGTATGGTCCAGAGTCAGGCATTAACATGGACTGTTTAATTCATCACCTCATGTTCTCGTTTGCTACAACTCTTCATCAGGATCAGACCATCGGGTCTGGGCTGATGCTGTGAGTGACGTTCTGTGAGATCCCAGGGGCAGTGATGATCCAAACAGCGGGGAGGTCTGAGGATCTGTGCAGGCACAATTCCTAAGCGGTCGGTCATGTTTCTTCCTTCCTGCAGTGTTTTTTGGGGTCACTGGAAATTGCCAGGACAATAGAGAAATGATACTTTCCTTCTATATGAAACTTGGTTAGAGCAAGAATAAAATAATGTTGACAGGCACCAGGGAGAATTTTCAGATGGTTAATGGAAGGGCAGCATCATCTGAGGCAAGTACAGTCGCCACACTGAAAGGAGCCTGCGCCCTTGTTCTGCTCTCAGATTCCTCCAGGACTCCCGGAAGGTGACGCAGATGCCCCAGCAGCTCCCCAGTCTTTGGAAAGAAGGCCTCTTTTGCTCTGGAGTGGTGGGGGGCAATATTGTCACAGTGATGTATGCATTAGTTCCCTACATCCTGGCTGGCCTATTAGAACAACACTAGGTCTTAATGCAGGGCATTGGTGATGCAGGACAGAATTCTCTCACCTTCCACGCAGGAGACCTGGGTTGGTTCCCGGCCAATACACCTCACACACAGCCACCACCTACCTGTCAGTGGAGGCTTACAGGCTGCTACGATGCTGAACAAGTTTCAGTAGAGTTTCCAAGCTAAGACAGACTAGGAAGAAAGGCCTGGAGATCTACTTCCAAAAGTCAGGCAATAAAAACCCTGTGAATCACAACTGTCTGATCTGCAGCTGGTCATGGTGATGGTGCAGGACCAGGCAGTGTTTCATTCCAGTGTGCAAGGTGTCATCATGAGCAGGGCCGACTCGAGGGCAGCTAACAAGAGCAACATGTCTTGACACAGGGTGGGCGATGAGGAAGACAGAAAGAGGCAAGGAGGGCCTGGGGGTGGGCAACGCACAGAGCCTGCTTTTATCCAGGGGCCACGATCACGCCTGTCTCCCTCCTTCCCAGCACCTGCCCCGTATGTTCTCTTTGATTTGTTTCAACAAAGAATCTGACCCTGTGTAGCCTCCGATAGACCAGTCCGTTGCTTGTGTAAACTTAACTGAAACACTCTAAAAATACTCACACACACAAACGATGAATGTGAAGAACATTACGTAACTGGCTGGGGAGTACTTTCAACAGAACCTTTTAAAGCGGCACGGTCTAAGTGGAAACGTATTTAGCAATATCCTACTAATCCGCCGTCACAAGCGTGTTTTTCAGATGATTACAGCCCCTGAGACACACATAAACCGCTGGTGTACAGCGGACACAGGGCAGGAAATTCCATCGACGGCTGGATGTTGAGGAAAGCGGTTACGTTCTAGTAGGAGGAGTTTGGACTCGGAGCAGGAAGACCGAGGCTTGGAGGCTTGGCCTCTCTACCTACGACCCCTCCAGGTGCCGTGAGTGGATTCCAACTCATGGCGACTCCATGTTTGCCAAAGTAGAACTGTGCTCCGTGGGGTTTTCAATGGCTGATTTTTCAGAAGTAGATTGCCAGGCCTTTCTTCCAAGGTGCCTCTGGGTGGACTTGAACCTCCAACTTTTTGGTTAGCAGCTAAGTGCTTCACCTCCTGCACCACCCAGGGACTCCCCTTACTACCTAGGGCAGTGTTTTTCAAAACGTCTATGGTGAAGAACAGTTTTGTTTATTTATTCATCTTAATTTTCTCTTTTAAAATAATTTATTTGTTGTTGTTGTTGAGAATATACAAAGCAAAAACACACACCAATTCAAGTTTCTAGATGTATAATTCACTGATACTGATTACAGTCTTTGAGTGGTGCAATCATTTTCACCCTTTCTTAATTTTCAGTCCATCACGAACTGATGCTTCTATCAACTATAATAAGAATAGGTAAAAAAAGAAACCTCCTTTTGACAACTAGATCAACAGACGTAAAGTATTCTGCCAAAATGCTAGGAAAGTTTCTAAGAGCCTGCTGTCAATTTCTTTACTTCTGTGTTTGCACTGGGGGGCGGGGCGGGTACAAGCAGTATGTGCACCGTCCCTTGAATATGTGGCCTTGGAGAGCTAACAACCTTTCTTAGTTTTTCCATTTAATTGGTTCCCCAGGTACTGTGAGGATTAAATAAGACAATATATATAAAGGTGTGTAGTAGAGTAAACAGTGCCTTCTGGGTTTTAAATTATTTTTGTTCTCATTAGTAACTTGTCGTTGTTAGCTGCTGTCGAGTCGATTCCAACTCGTGGCAATCCCGTGTGTGCAGAGTAGTACTGTTCCATAGGGTTTTCAAAGCTGTGACCTTTCGGAAGCAGATCACCAATCCTGTCTTCCGAGGCACCTCTGGGTGGGTTTGAACTGCCAACCTTTCCGTTAGTAGGCACTTAATTGTTTGCATATATCTCATTAATATATGCAAACTCAGATAATATACGCAGACTGAGATCACTCAGTCGCATATCTCATTAATAACAACAGTAGTTAAAAATGATTGCAAGGGGCCCAGTAATCTTTCGTTTTTCGTTGTGCAATGAGGGTAGGTATCACATGCGGTACTCAGGCTGAATTCCCAGAGATGACTTCCGCTTGAGTCACTAATTTCCCAAACATAGAACACGTGGCTGAGAGGCAGGCGTGGAGAAGGCAACGGAGAATGAGGAAGCAGCCATGGGCAGCTCCGACTGCGCCCGTGTGCCTCCGGCTCTCTGCCTAGGTGATCAGTTACACTGTCCAGACTTCAATCTCCCAGCCCATGGCCATCACCAGTTGCCATGAGTCGATTCTTCCCTTCCACAGGACCCAGTGAGCAGCAGGCAAACCTTGGGAAAGGCAGTTAGGCTCTCAGCTCAGACCAGCCTTCACGCCAGATGGCAACCCATTATTCTCCTTGTCATACCAGGGACCCTTGCCAAGTAACTTCCCTGGGAGCCACACTGGGATTTTCCAGCTACTTCCTGGACACAGAAAGGTGGTGTGTGTGTGTGTGTGTGTGTGTGTGTATTTCCTTCAAAGGAGAGCTTCTCCCCCCTTTTTGGGGACGTAGGGAGTCAGGTCGCTGTTCCAGCCAGGCCTGCCCTTGGGGGTCCTTTTTGCAGTTCACCCAACAATGGTATTGAAGGCAAATCTGGTGAAAGAAGAGGCTACAGCAGCTGTTCCTAAAATATTAGCAGCTCACACAGCACATATACTCTGATTATGATCCTCTGCTTCCTCCATCAGCAAAAACAAGGGCGGAACCCTTCACCTTTTCCATCCCTCGTTTCCACCACCATCCTGCCAGCTGTAATCTTTTCTTGTTTTATATTTAAATTATTTTTTTGTATCATCCATGTAATAAACACAAAATAATTATACAGGACAGAAAGATATGAAATATACAAGTATTTTCCCCCCATCTTCCAATGACTGGGTGTATGTATAACCTTTCAAAAAATGTTAATGCTTATAGAGGCATACTATGTGCTAGCGTACATGTATGTGTGTTTGTGTGCATATGTGTGTGTATATACGTGTGTGTGTTACATATATATACACTCCTCTAGGAGCATACTATGTGCTAGTGTACACGTATGTGTGTTTGTGTGCATATGTGTGTGTATACACGTGTGTGTGTTACATATATATACATTCCTCTAGGAGCATACTATGTGCTAGTGTACACGTATGTGTGTTTGTGTGTGTATGTGTGTGTGTTACATATATACACATGCCTCTTTCTCTTTGATCAGTACGACTGTCCTACAGTTAGCAACATGAGTTTTTCTCTTCCATACTGTCCCTCAGGTTCAATTTTTCCTCTGATTTCACCTTTAGACTGATTTTTCAGCGAGGATGCCCTTGCCCTGGTCCCCCAGGTATGCACCACGCCCCCGCACACCCCCAGGCACGCCCCCACACCCAGGTTACCTCTCCAGCCTCTGCATAGTCATGGCCAGTGTCTTGTTCAGCTCGTCTATCATCCTGCAGCTGGAGGGGTGCATGGGCAGGGTGCCGGTGGAGGAGGGCAGGTGCGGGCCGTGGCCGCCGTACTGCAGCTGGTGCTGGATCTGGGACGGCAGGACCGTGTGGTGGTGCTGGGCCATGCTCTGCTGGCCACTCTTCTGGGCGGCGTAGGATGCCAGGGAGAGCTCTGGCCCCCCGACAGGCATACAGATCATGACTTTCTTTGGAGGTAGCGGAGGCGACAGTTTCACTGGCAGACAAGGCAATTTCACAGGGGCGCCAGGATCTGCGGCAGAAGGAGGGTGAGATGCAGATGTGAGTTTGGGGCTTCAGAAGGAAGCCAGCATACCCTACGTGCCCACCTTGAGTCTGCCCACTGAAGGGAATCCCTTCGATAAAACACAGCAACTGAAGACATCAGCGCGGTGCGTGCTACTCCAGAAACACTCGCCAGCGCTTGATCTCTGCTCAAGGTATGCTGGCTGTAATGACCCCCACGGACCCATCTGTTAGTGGAGTCTGTCTCGTTGTGTGTCAGACTGAGGCTCAGAGCAGCACAGATGATGAGCCAGCAGGAAGGAGAAATGCAAGGAGCTCTTCTGCTCATGGATACACATGAGCCTTGAAAGAGACCTTTCTCTAGGGTGTCCTACTGTGTAAAGAATTTGGTCTTGCCCAAAGAGAGGTCTGGCCTTTGTCCCTGCTCCTGGGAGGTAACCACTAAACCCTTGGAATCTCCAGTGACTGGAGTGTCTTTGTTATTCATGGTGGGACCCTTGGACCACACCTGATAGTTTATACTAATGAGGTAGCTCATGGTGGGCCCCTTGGGCCATGTGATGTCAGCCCAACTTTGTGGGGGCACTGGATATTGAGTTCAGTCACATGGCAATCAATCAATCATGACTTCATAATGAAGCCCCAATAAAAACTCTGAACACGGAAGTTTGAGTGAGCTTCCCTGGGTGGCAATACTCCATGCATACTGTCACATATCAATGCTAGAGAGAAACACATCCTGAGGACAATGGAAGCTTTGCATCTGGAACCCTCTCAGACTCTCAGTCTCATCATTTGGCTGATTTTAGTCTGTATCATTTCCTGGTAATAAACCATAACTGTGAGTATAACAGCTTCCACTGAGTTCTGTGAGTCCTTCCAGCAAATCATTGAACCTAACGATGGTTTTGGGAACCCTCTGAACTTGTGGCTGGTGTCAGAAGTGAGGGTGGTCTTATGACGTTGTATTTGGAACCTAACTCCTGTGGTTGCTGTCAGAAATTCTGGGCAAACTTGGCAGTCTGGAGGATTGTGCCCTCAAACTTTGCAGTTTGGCTAACTCCAGGTACCCATGATGTCTAAAATTTTGCCACTGTAATGTGAAAATATCCTTCCAGCTGGCACTTTCTAAGAGGCATGGAGTTAGAAGGCAGCCCAAGGTTCAGGTCCAGTAACAATATCAGGAAATCACTTTAATGCTGCCAACCTTAATTCCTTCATCTGTAACATGGGGATGATCGTGCCAGCTTGGGAGGCTGGCTTTGGTGAGGATTCATTATAACAGAGAGGGAGTATCTGGTTCATGTGCCTGGCACAGGTGCCGTGGAAGGCTCTGTGCCCTGCTGAGCACTGTGTGGGGGCAAGGTGTTAACATGGTTGCAGGGCTGGCTGACCCCCTACCACAGCATCCAAGGTGGGCTCCAACAGGGCACTCTGCGGGTCAGATGGAACCTGTCCAGAACCAACCCCTTGGTTCCACAACAGTGTTACTGAAGCTTCCCAGAGATGCTCCAAATGTAAGAGGGCTTGGGGTCAGACCAGCTCTCAGGCCATCTTTGGGAAGACCGCATATTCCTCTGTCTGTATCTCCATAACCCACTGCTGTTGAGTCGATTCTGACTCATAGTGACCCTAAAAGACAGAGTAGAACTGCCCCATAGGGTTTCCTAAGCTGTAAACTTTATGGAAGCAGACTGCCACAGCTTTCTCCCATGATGCAGCTGGTGGGTTTGGACAGCTGACCTTTCAGTTATCAGCTGAGCACTTTAACCACTGTGCCACCAGGGCTCCTTCTCTGTACCCTACATTCCTGGAAATTGCCTAACCCTGGGGGAGCAGGAATGCTTGAGCCCTGAGGGTTGTAGTCTTGCCTGGGAGACTATCTCTGTGCCTTGAGTGCGGCCTTCCTCCAATTTAACTTCTATAGTCCTTCCAAAATCAATTCTTAGGGCACACATCTGATCATGCCACTCCTCAGTGTAAAATCCACCACTGGATCCTTGGCCAAAAGATAAAGTCCAACTTCTCTGAACATCCTTCAAGGCCTTCATGGTCTGTCTGCCACTTAGTTCAGTTCTGCTGTCTACACCTTCTTTCCACGAGGTCTGCTTTGATTGCCCCGGTGGAAATGGAAGTCTCCTGTCACACCTGGAAAGCACCTGACCACAGTCTCTCCTATGACACGTATCACTATTCTCCTGTGGATTTTACTGATGTGGTGCCACAAGAACCCAGAGTCTCCATCCTCAGCAAAGTCCTACCAGATGGCCTTGGTCAGCTGTCCCTCACACGCTCCATAAGAGTTGTTCCAGTCTGCCTTGGCCTCCTCAGCCTCCTCCCCCTCAGCAGATGAAAACCAAACCAATCCAGTTGCTGTCGAGTTGATTCTGATGCACAGCGACCCCATGTGTGTCAGAGTAGAACTGTGCCCCATAGAATTTTCAAGAGCTGATTTTTCAGAAGTAGATCACTAGGCTTTCTTCTGAGGCACCTCTGGGAAGACTTGAACCGCCAACCTTTTGGTTAGTGGCTGAGTGTGTTACCAGTTCGCAGCACCCAGGGACTCTTCCTATTTCCCAGAGAAACTAGAGGGTGCACTCAAGGCCTCCCCCACCACAGATGAATTCAAGCGTCTCTTCTCATCACTTCCCACAAGTATCCACTCTCACTTCTCCACCTTACGAGTTTCCCAAACTGCCTGACATTCCCTGGGCCTTTGTATGTGTCTTTCTGTCTGGAATATTCTTCTCTATTTTGGTCAATTCCTACTCTCCCTTCAAATCCAGCTAAAACAATCACCTCTCCTGAGAAACCTTCCCTGATCATTAAATCACTCTTTCCATTCCACACCCACCTACCATGGCCTGTGCGTGCTTTATGTCTGTGATGACATTTAATGTTTCCAGTGTGAGGACTCGTGCTGAGGAGACACTGAGCTGCTGTTAAGGGTGATGGAATAATTTGGGAATGGATAAAGGCAATGGTTTAACAATATGCTGAACATAATTAATGTCACTAAAGTGTACACGTGAAGGTTGTTGATATGGCAAATGTTTTGTTCCAGATAGTATGTTTACCACAAAGAAAGTGTTAACAATGACAATAAGGGTAAAAATAATGATAGTAATAATTACCTCCAACTCTTAGATCATGCTTGCTAAATGCCAGATATTGTTCTAAGTGCTGTGAACTCTTCATATACTAATAAATTTAATCCTCACAAGCCGATGAGGCAGACACCATCTTTAACTCAGTTTCACAGATGTCACTGACTTGGAAGACAGAGCGCCCCACTTCCTATTTACATAACCTTCTCCTCTCCCGGGGAGCTGGAACCAAGTGTAATTTCTCATCACGTCCCCAGCATCTTGTACAGTGCCCAGCTCACAGCAAGAGGCTTAAAACATTTTTACTGAAATAATCTATTGCTGGATGAACTCACACTGACCCCAGAAACTGATCCTCTGAGAGGGAGAGGAAAGCAGAAGCAGATTACAATTTTAGGATCCGGCAGCTGTGGGTGTGTGGACACTAACCTGCTGATCCTATAGCGGAGATACAGAATAATCTAGTAATTCCAGGGCGCCTGACAAGATTGCTCTCCTGACACTAAACGCAAACCAGTCATGACCAGGGGTGCTCTCCGGCTCATTCTGTTTGTTACAATCCCCCACGCACACAGCACAAGGAGCATCCCGGAGTCCTGCTGGCTGATTCCAAAGTCGCTGAGAGGGGAGAGCTCACCAACTTTGCCCATCTCTTGTCAGTTCTCATGGCTCTGGGAAGCTTTAGTGCAAACCTAACCAACTGCCGAGTTGACTCCGACTCATGGAGACCCCGTGAATGTCAGAGTAAGACCGTGCTCCATAGGGTTTTCAATGGCTGAGTGTTCAGAAGTAGATGGCCAGGACTTTCTTCTGAGGTGCCTCTGGGTGGACTCAAACCTCCAACCTTTAGGTTAGCAGTGAGCATGTTAACCATTGGCAGTGCCCAGGGACTCCAGGGCAATCCTGGCAAATGTAATGTGCACGGAAGTGTGAAGGGTTCTCCTCCGGGAACCCCTAGCCCATGACTCCTTGATTTGTGGGTGCTGGTTCTCTGTCTCAGGCAGATAGGTGCTCATTTGCTTCATCAGCAGAAAGAAGGGCCAGGAGGGCCGAGCGGAATTCTCTGCCAAGGAAGGGACTAGAATACAACAGGTTTTGCCCATCATGTTAAGATATAACTTCCAGCCACACTCCACCATGGTATTTCTTCTCACTACCTCCGTAGCACAATTTACTTGGTGTCATTACTGGAAAATAGGCCAAATGGACCCAAGAATGCTACCCACACAGGCACAGAAGCAGGACCAAATTAGCGGAGATGGCTACTTCATTGTTCAGGGATGTTATGCTGCAGGTACACAGGGCCCCACATCTCCCCTTCTACCTGCACTTTCCTTCCCACACCTGTTAGTTTGTCATACTGTGGTGGCTTGCATGTTGCTATGATGCTAGAAGCTATGGCACCAATATTTCAAACACCAGGTGGGTGACCCATGGTGGATACATTTCAGTGGAGCTTCCAGACTAGGACAGGCCAGGAAGAAGGTCCTGAAGATCTACTTTTGAAAATTAGCCAGGGAAAACCTATGGATCATAACAGAATACTGTCCGATATAGTGCTGGCAGATGAGCCCCTTAGGTTGGAAGGCACTCAAAATACACAGTGGCCGCAACAATGGACTCGAGCAGACCAGCGGTCATCAATATGGCGCAGGACTGGGCAATGTTTCGCGCTGTTGGACATGGGGTCACCATGAGTCCAAGTCAACCCAACGGCAACTAACAACATCTGCCTTCTGGTTGTCTCACTGTACGTGGTCACGTACCCCCAACATATATGAAGGAAAAGGCCTGTTTGCCTGAAGCCAATTTGCCAAAAGCAAACTTGCCTAAAATCTGTTCATCTAATGACTACCTTGCCTAAATCTAAAGTGTGCAATTAAAGGATTTAAAAAACAAA